TGGTACACGAGGCCACATGGCGCGAGTAATATCGGGACGCATGAAACGTTGGCGACTGCCGCGCCTGGATTTCTTGCAGGCCGTGATTCAGTCCACCGACCTTCCGAGAGTAAAAGAAATTGTTAGACGAATTCGTCCTTAGAATTAAAAATTTTCGTTTAATACCCACTCACCAGCGCGCGTCGGAAGAAATAAAGCGTTAAAACACGCCGCGGAGCCTGCGAGCACGCTCGACTTGCGGAGCACAAGGAAGCAGGTCGTAGTCGTCGTTAATAATCGAAGTCGGTCCCTCCGACTTTTGCCTCTTTTCGCAGCTCCCTCCGTTTCCTCGCAAACGAGACGAGACGAGACGAGACGAGAGCTGAGAAATCTCAGAGGCCAGCGTGTTGCGACTCGCGGACGTAGACGCGCGAGATGGGGCACACGCGCCGCTCTCGCAAGGCAAATAAGCGTCAAATGAAGCGCGCTTAAAGATCAAACGAGCGAGCAAACACGAAACAAGTGACGCGGGGCGTTAACGTGTCCCCGTTGTAAAAACACACCGTCGCTACCGCGTGTAATGCCGCGCTTTGCCTACGGGATTACCATTTGCGCTAATCCAACCCCGCGCCGTGCGGCTGAAGCATCAAGAAATACAAATATAACCTGGGATCTACGTGGGGCGCAGCGCGGGTGGGGTGTGTGATCGAGTAAGAGGATAGTTTTAAGCTTTAAGCGCCGGAGCGCGACCTCGTCACACACGCTCGCGACTCCGGCTAATAAAAAGCGGTCTTATGGGCGACGCTAATTGATAAACACACAGTAGACAAGTACAAAAACAGAGATGTTGCTGCACGGACTGCAAAACGCGCGGGGAACGTATGCGCATTCGATGCAGGCGATTGTCCTCGCGTTTCTCCTTTCATTATAGAGATTATAGGAATCGTGGAGCATAGTTGACACATTTTACATTTGACTGTTTGTATATTAGGCATTTTTATAACAAAAAGAGTTACGAAGGCTCTAAAAAAAGATCAAGAATCGATGAGGGGAGGACAATGTGAAGCCAATAAGCGCGGAACACGGTGCGTGGTTTAAACGCGGAAAACAATGTTCTTTTCCCGAGTCGAAATTTTGATACTATTTTGACACTCTTAAGGATAATTTACACCTACTTAGCTGATCGATACACCAACATGGACCAGCAATAACCTACTTTGATGACATTATATTTTTTTACTCCTCCCTTGAATCTTTAACTCTAAAAAGTTCCTTTAGCACCTACTTAAAAGGACCTACTTTAATGCTAATTTGGTAAAAGTAGAAATTTCCAACACTATCAGTTTCGAAGTAGGGGTAAATTTTGTACTTGCAGTTCGATCTTTTTTACCGTCTTAGGTTCTACTATATAATAGAATTAAAAGTTCAACATAGGGCCAAAATTTCGACTCGGGTTTATTCAAACGTTTCGACCCGTGTTCGGGTTCTTCCCCAGTGATCTGGTAAAGAGAATATTATGGCGTGCGTGAAACGGAATTTATCGTGGAATCAGAACTTTTATATAAGAACCGAGTGTGTTTCAGTTTTGACGACTCCGCTCTTCGATCCGGACTTCTTCGATCGTAAATACGCTCCTCATCATCCGCTCGTCTGTCAACGAGATGCGGACTGCTCACGTGTACGCTAATTGCCGGAGATATTGTAATCCCCCGTGCACTTTAAATATATTAACGGTAACACCGGCTGAAAGTTATTCCGTATCGAATCGGGGCACGGCCCACGTGATTAATGTTAATCGTATGCCAATCAGGGGCCGATGATCGACGCGGTTGCCGGCGCAGCTAGTCGCCGAGTCATCACAAACAAAGATGGCCGCGGTGGCGAACGACGCTACGGCGTCGGCGAGTGCCGTATTTGTGAAACAAAGAGCCGTTAGAAGAGGTACAGACACACAGAACCAGACGGTTCGCGCGCATTTACATAAATATGTGCGGTTTCTGTGGATTCATCCATCGCGCCCCCGCGGTCACTCGCGTTCCCCCTCTCGCGTGAATTGGTCCTTCGCCACGTGATTAACTTGTCACGAAACATTGTAGTCACGTCCCGGGCTATTTATTAGCCGGATAAGAATCGGCCGCGCGCAGCGAGTCGTGCTCTTCGGTTTCGATTCGCGGTGACGACGTGGTTCTTCCGCCGTCAAGGTGAGACGACCGGGGTCGCCACCCCGGCCCGGTGTATCCCCAATATCTTGATCGATATGTTAACGCCGGTGGTATAAATTGACGGGGGCGAAATCAACTCGCGCTCGTTCCATCTCTCAACCGTGGTCGGGAATTCGTAACTGCGTAATCGACGTCGTTCGTCTTTGTGCTAATATATTATGCATATGCTCCCAGCGCTCTCGAAAATTTCTATGCAAAGTGCGACGACACATCGCGCGACATCAGTGTGACGCTGATGAAACCGTAATTCCATCGCGCTGTTTAATCAGAATTTCCGGCCAAGGGGTATCGCGGGGAGAGTCCGGTCTTCCGCAGCGCGCCTACCCTCGTGGAAAAAAACAAGAGGGGGAAAAAAAACAATTGGAACACATCGCGGTGGACAGTTGACAAACGAGACGGGGAAGCGCGAGAGGAAGGGGGTGGGATGATCTCCGGGGCCCTTCCTTTCCTCATTCCAACGTCCCCGCTATGGCGATAAACAATAAGCCCGCCGGTGGCTCGCCAGGAATGATAATTTAAACGATGACTCTCGGCTTCTTCGCATTCAATTACTAAATAATTGACGAAGAGGGTGGCGAACGCCGGGGAGACAAGAAGGGGGACGAGGGGTGCGAGGGGGAGAGAACCGCTGCGATTCTCGAGAAGACCGACGGTTTCTTTCTACGGGCCTCCCTCCCCCCCCCCCCCATACACGACACCCTCGGCCATTTCGCAGTCGAGGTGACGAGCGTGACTTATCTCCCGCAAATTATAATCCAATTTGCGATTATCGTCGTGCCATCGTGCCCGTGGTTGCCTTTGGGGCCTCTGCCCCAGGACCCAGATGGGGGCCTCACCTCCGGCTGGTTAGTAAGGCATAATTAACCGCATGGCCGCAAGAGTCGACCCACGTTGCCAACCTCTCCCGCCATCGCGCGCAGTAAAACGCGTAAGAGAACAGTCAATTGCTCGTTTCTCTCTCTCTCTCCCTCCTCGCGAATCCTAATTATTATATACGTCGCACCGGGCGTATATAAATCTTCGTGCTATGCCGAGTGGCATATTAGGCGACATGCCCCGACCGCTAATGGCCCGGCTATAAGACGGCGATGATGACCGTAATCAAATTTAATAAAGTACTGTATCGAATACTGAGGAAGCGGCTGTGGCTCGATGGCAGCGTGAGATTGCGATTGGCCGTAATGGTACATCCGGGAACAATGCGTTCTCTGTCGGAAGGACTTTCTAAAGCAAGAACGAATTGACTGATTGTGAGAGGCATAATGCTACGCAGCACGGTGTATCTGTTACCGGATGTCAGCGAACAATGTCATAACGGGAATCCGGGAGCAATGATGAAAACCGAGATCAATCGATAATATTACGTGTATCACGTAATCGCTTGTATCATTTTTGTACTTGGCCGTCGCGCCGGCCCTACAAACTCCTCAGTTCTCTAAATACATATCGTAATGATCGCGCCATATGTCCAGCTGAATAGAGTTGTCACAATCGACAACCGGTCAACGTGATGAATTACACGGCCGCGGACATTTCCTCGTCATTCCGCGTATTATGCGTGTCCCGATACTTCTTTCGGATTACGCGAGCCCGGGTATACACGCGGAATTCCGCGCGGAATCGCGAATGATACGCGACATCAAAGCGGAAAGCTATGCGACGTAACCACCGACCGGCGACAGTTGGCTTCGGCCTGGAGTTTCCTGCTTCTCATCGCGAGAGATCGCCGGGGGAACGACGTGTTTTCTTCGCGGTGAAATTCGCCGGGCGGTGAAAATCCTCGAAGAATCAAGCTAAAATCGATTTCAAGCGAGTATTCCGAGAAATAACGGCACTCGTTCGTGTACACGCAGTAATGTCCCATGAAGAGCGTAACTCTCTTATAAAAGACGATCGGGAATTGTACGACTCGAATGTTAAACTCGCGTTTAAATGAGGAAGACTGGGAGAAAAGCCGAGTGGCGCTTGTGACGCGCTACATTTTTAATATATAGAGAAACGTCCCCTATTATAAGATAGGCTCCTAATATGACATAGCGGAGTTTCTGCTAAATTAATAGGCATCATCTGTTGGTTCCACCACGAATTTATTGCCCCTATTAGGCTTAAAATCTGTTTTATCCAGTTCTCGTCTGGTACTTTGAGCATTTGGTTTTACTTCATCTTCGGTAGGCTGCTAATCTCATAATAGAGGACTTTCCCATAACTTTATACAGTATTCCGCAATGTGCGACTTCGTATGCGGATTCAAGGCTGTCCAATTCCGCGTCGCGATTTCTCACATATATTTGGCATTTAACGAGGACCCGACAATCCCCGTTAGCGTCACCGTCGTTCTCGCGAACGGGGCTGCACGCCTGTTAAAACCCGAGACCGCGAAGAAACCGCCGTCTCATTCGTTCTCTTTCAAGGTGCACATGAAGAACGGTGGAAGGGAGAACGGGCGAAACACGCTTCTCGGGATCCGCGTTTCGTTACACCATCATTATAACCTTTCCAACGGGTCGCTTCTTCTTACATGTGTCCCGAATTATCGGGGGATCATTATCGCGCAAAGAGAAGATTATTACTCGGATGGCTTTTTGTCATCGATCCTTCCAAGTAGATGTAGAGTAATTGTGCCACGTGCAACGCTCCATTCAACTCGTAACATCGCTGCCTTCCTTTATGAATTTAACTGCGAAAATTAATGATGTGTATCTTGCCAATGAAATAAGGCGCTATTGATTCGCGCGTATCTTCTTATAAACTTTCCGTAAAGCGATAGGCGCGAGAAGCGTGAAGCTTGGATTTTAATACCTTCCACGAGAGCAACGTAACCATCGCGATGCCATTGCATTTGGAACGGTACAGTTCGCACATTCTTGAACCGCGCCATCCCTCTGAATACACGAACAAGGGGCAGCGTACCGGTCATTAAGTGGCCGGCCGCGGGTCCGAACTGCGGCTTCGACAAAAAGGGCCACTTCCGAAGGCTGCAACGTCACATCCGCCACCGAAAATAGCCGCGGGCCTTTAATTTACGAAGAAAAGCGGGCTTTTTACCAGCGAAGATCCGAGGCCGCGATACAAGCTCTCTCCCGCTTGGTCGCAGCACAAAAATACGGTAGCTCGTAGCGCTACGCCACCGAAAAATGCACCGCGCACACGTTTGTACTTTGTCTTTGTCCACTCGCGAGTTGCCATACGGTGTAATTGGAGGGTCCGGCAGAATAACATGCTAAACCAAATTTTACGGTCAACTGGAAAACGGTTATAATAAGATTTGATATTTCCCCGGTATTCGGATCCGTCCCTTTAGCGGCCGCTTCATTCCGCTGAACATTTTGTAATCGACCATGAAGCCCCGTACTTTTATTTAACGTCGGTCTGTGAAACTTGCGAAAAAAAGACCAGAGTGTCGTGCATTAAATAGGAAAAGAAAATGTATTATACGAGTGAGCTCTTCGCGATTCCTTCGGATGTTCCGAGTTACCGTAACTGCATTAATTCCGCGTTAATGAATGGTTCATGTGCTTATCAAAGAGCGGCATTAATTAAGCCAATGTTGAAATTAAATATTGTGTTCCAGCAAGATAAAAATGTTGTCTTACAACGTCATATACCGTCATTTATTTCTTATGCACGGCAAATTAGAAGATAGCGCGAACGCGCGTATCGGACACCTTGTTATACGCGGTATACTTTTTACGCTTCTACTATCTCGTCGTATCACGGCAAGACTCGCTTGCTCGAGCCACGCTCGTACCGTGGAAGTTTCCGTCTTTCCGCGTCGTTACGTTAGCGTGTTCGCGTCCCGCGATGTAACATCAATACGGACGTTCTCGCGCGGCACATCGAGACACACGTAAACCATACGCGAGATAACGCGGAGACGCGAGGTAAAAGTTGCCGCAAAAGCGGACAGCGGTTCTGGGCATTTGTCGTTTGCCGCTGCAAAACTTGTCGATTATCGAATTTCGCGTTGCGCGTGGCGCAGCTCCCGCGCGCCTAATCGCGATTCGCCGCGCTCAACCATCCGTGCGGAAGAATAGCGGAGGTGTCCGGTAACGTGACGGCTTTAAGACTACCAGCAACACGAGCGCTCCGTATAAATCGCCCGATGCCGACCGCCGCCGCCGCCGCCCGAACGCGAAGAAAAAGTCCCCATTAATCGATCAACAGGATCGTTCGAAACCGGTTTCCCGTAGTTTTGTCGAATCGACGTTTTCCTATCGCCGAGCGTCTAAATAGAAATGCCCCGGCCACCTGGCCGTCATCGTTGCCTGTCTTCGTAATTCGACGGACTCGGCGCGACGAGACGCGTCGGGATCGTCGACGGGGCTTAAACGACGTTAAACAGCACGGGACGAATAAATCGTCGAACTCTTTTATTTCGCCAAGTAGCCTTTCCCGAAGCGAGGAAGCTCCTTCCCGACTTCCAAAGTGGAAACCAATGTAAACTCCGATGTGAAGTTTTATGAAATTCCGACAGGTGCGATTAGAATCCCCGGTTGCGTTTTTTTTTTTCATTTTTTTACTCGTATATCTTTCTATCATTACAGCGGTTTCATAACAAAAAGTAGTTCTATACGCAAGTAAGCAATTCTATTAATCTCGACCCTGATGATTGCGCACGATCGCGATTATCTGAACTAGCGGTTCCCATGCTCGCGTTCTACTGGAAAAAAAAAAGGAAATTATTTTATCGCGTCGGCGGAAGGAAGAGGAGTAAAAAAAATGATAGCGTGCGATAACGTTTCGAAATCGCGAAAATCGCGCGGCTCGAATAAGCAAAGATATTACAAATTAAAATACATTTTTTTTGCAACATTATGGAACGTAATGACACCATGTATTACAGAACTTGGCAATAAATTGCACGTGCATTTTATTAGAATATTCAAATGATTACAACAGCTCTTTTGTGAAATATAAAATGCATATAATATTTTTTAATAAAAGTATCGTAATGAAATATCATAAAATGTCTGCATGTGTGGATAGACAAATTTTTTTTATTACATTTTCTTCATTAGTGCACTGTGGAGGCGCGTAGGCGCGCTCGGCTGGCCGTGTTCGTGCACGCACCGGCCACCGCTCTAATTACAAGCGGAAATGGAAAAGTAACAAATATCCCAGACAAATATCGAAACGCTCTGCCGCGACACGAAGGACCCGGAGCGGGCGCCCGCGCGCTCGATCGAGCGAGCGAGCGATTACGCAATGACGCAAATGGCGACGAGCGAGGAGCATTTGTTGCGTACAGAAACGCACAGAAATTCTGATGTCATCATCTCGCGATTGCGCGGCTACCCTTGAAATTAATCGCCGTCGCGAATCCTTTCTCACGCGGCTGCACAAAAATTCGTACAACCGTTCCGCTGTCGTAATCGCCTCGCTAATTAGCGCTTGATATTACTACGCTGGATGCATTGAGACGCTACGCGAGTTTAACGATCGGGAATGCAATGCATTGCCATAATATTGCTTGCAAGCGTCATTAGGATCAGCGAGCGAGAGAGCGACATGCAAAACTTGGACAGTGAATTCGTCCGGGTTGTTTTGCACACGGCGGTCGGAAGATTAGCCGTGAAATCGGAGCGCGTCACCTTGAAGCCGAACCTTATTTTCAGATCGCGTATCCGGAGCATCGATCCCACGCGTGCACTTGTACGATTTCCGCGGTCAAGATGTCATCGATTCGCGACAGCCGAAGCTCTCTGATGGAGCTCTCCATTTTTTTTTATCGTCGCGACAAATATTAAACGCATTAGCGGCCGCCGCTTCTCGACGATTATTTCGCCGTTTACAACACCGCCGGTACTTATCGTTCGACAAATCGATATGCGATAGTACACGGTGATATCGAAAAAAGAGATCGCTTTCTAAGCAAGAAAACCGGTTGTAATACCGGCTATATTACAAAGTTATAAAACGCCAACCGGTCCTTAAGAGTCGAGATAATACTCACTTAGAGGAAACGATCAATCGATTCATCTGCGGAGCAATAATAATCCAAGTTCTCGGAGCAAAAATAATCCAAGTCGAACTCTAACGGTAAGGAAATCCAGCACCTCGTTAAGCCGCTTGATCCGCCTTCATTATTTCGATCAAAAAAAAAAACCGGACATACAGTCGAGCTCGAAAAATCGATGCCGGGCGCACTAATTTGCACGGCTGAAAAGCCGCCGGTCGATTAATGTCGCTCGATGTCGTTGCGGACGCGTGACACGCGTGAAGAATATCGCGCCGCACGGTGAGACGTGAAATTAATCGCGACCGGATGCCGGAGATAACGGGTTAATTACCTACCGACGTACCATACAACGTGCGTATCCCGTCGGTTCTTCTTGCGCGGCCGTGTCTTTCTTGCGGTTTTCGCTCTCCTTTCACGCGCATGCACACACGCGCACACGCACACGCGCACACAACAGCGAGGATATCATCTGCGTGAGCACGAGCGTGCCCGTTCTCCAACGCCCGTGTATTCGCGCGTCCACCTATCGAAAACGCGTGCAAAAAGCCGCAACGACTGGCTGCGTCGTCGCGGCACGTGAAATCTGCATGTAATCCCGCTACCGCGTTTCGCAGGTAACCCCGAGGATCGCGATGGGATGCGAAGATTAATTTCGAAACTTCCACCCATTCGCCGTCCGCGGATATCACTTGACCCTCTCGGGCACCAACTTTTTGTTCACCGTCATTAAAACGGTTTCCGGGATATGAGTCTCGATAAGCTGCTTCTTTTTTTTTACGTTTTACGCGAGAGGAATTCGGAAACAAAGAAAATACTATCGTCTGCTTAAGCCCGGAAGAGAGATACGTTGAAATCACATTTCCTTGAATCTACCAAATTTTCATTTACTTCTACCAAAACATTTGTCAGATTTGAAGAAATAGATACGAATTCCGTTGGAAATTCCTGCCTCGACCGAGTAAAATTCTGGTTAAGGTAAATTAAATAAAAGTCTAGTAAGGTCAAAATCCCACCAAATTTGTTTGATTTCAAACTTTTTTTCCGCGCGCGGCGAAGATAGCGAACGCGTATAAATATATGTGTATAATTGTATGAATGTACAATATTAATAATTGAAACGGAATAATAATCCGCGTTTAATAATATCATTTTAAATTATTACTAAATTATATCATTTATTATTTAGATTGAGTGGATAATTATTCTTAATTATATACCGTTTAACTTGCTGCTTTATAATGAGCATTGTGCATGCTTCATCCTGCGAGCGGTATGAAACTTCACGACAGTGCTAACATCGTTGCTACTCTGTGCGGATCTCGTTGAAGCTAACGATATCGCGCGCGCGCGCGCGTGTAACAGTGTCGGCTCGTTGCCTTAACAAGGGCTTGGTCATTATCAAAGCTGTAATTAGTTGCCCGTCGTTTGCGCCATGTTCGCCTTAAACGCAATATCGCAGCTTCTTGCCGCCTCCTTTCACCCTGCTCTTTCCTAGACACCGCTGCACGTCGGGAATCGATAGACGAGCTGCGCGCTGTTTCGTACGCAGCTCTAGACGATCCGTTATGACACCGTTGTGCCGTTACAACGCGATGCAAGAGGAATTATAAATAACGCAACGAAAATGGGCAGAAGGCGAAATGGCCAACGGAGATTGTGAGCGAGCTGTGCGACCCTTAACAGAGTTTCCTCGGAACGCAGGTCCGAGCACCTTCTTGGGGCGCGTAAATAAGTTTCCAGACGGCGCCTAAGCGAATTTTATACCGTGCGTTGATCGAATTATCGAGATATTGATTCGAAAACTTGAAATAAAATATGGCTGTCTCTTTGTATAAATTTATTAAAACAAAATAATTGCGCATTTCTCTCCTCATGTGTGTAAATGTTTTGCAACCAATTGGAGTCATTTATTTCTTTAATAAAAATTTGTATTTGAAAAGTCGTCAAAAATTGTACTGCAGCAAATCGAAAAAACAAAATAACAAGTTATCGTTCACCTGGATTCTAAACGTTACGACAAAGAAAGCTCGAGTCTCTCTCCGCAAAACACGTCTTCGTCGGCAGGGAGCAATGTAGCTTATTAAATTTGACACTTCAAGAACTCGGAACATTGAAAAGGGGCCGGGCAATATCAGGCAGAATATATATCCAGCATTACGCCGGAGTCGAAGCAACCGCCCCCGCGAACGCGGGATATTCCGCTGCCTCCGGGGACCAGGGATTCGTTAATTTCACTTCGGACACACGCATACGAGTGGCGACGACGTGAATGTTTGCGCCACAGAATCGCCGAAGCGTCGTTAATTCCCGGGAGATGCAATCGACAAATCTCTTCTAATTTCCTCGGAGGACGATACGCGAGCATAATAGTAATCTACACAACATTAGTGACAAGAAATTGCCTAGAAGATCTTTGATTCTTTTACGCTGTAGAATACGATCGTATATTGAAACGCTTCGATAGCTGTTATGGACCTCATGAATTTCGTATTT